TAAAATTTTTATATCAGCCGGGTGGTGGTGGCACAGGCCTTTAATCCCAGCCCCTGGGAGGCAGAGGCAGCTGGATCTCTGTGAGTTCAAGGCCAACCTGGTCTACAAGAGTCAGTTCAAAGACAGGCTCCAAAGCTACAGAGAAACCTTGCCTCGAAAAAACCAAGAAAAAAAAAACTCCTCATAATTTTTCAAGTTGACCTAAAAATATACTTTGTAGCCAGCTTGTCGAAACACAACTCTAATCCCCAGTCATGTCCAGTTATGCCCCTTTTGTGGTCAAAAAGACATTAGAGTTGCCCACAGTCACACAGCAAGTGAATATGGATGTGGCGCTGTAGTGAGATCATCAGCATTCTTTACAACGCCACGGTTTCCTCTTATATAACCCCACAAAGCAAATTCTAAACTCTCCATTTTAGGATAGAAACACATTTAGAAGCATAAAGATTCTGTCCATCATTTTGGAGACAAAAATCTAACTGACAGGGTCAGATACTGAGGGAAACGGGAAGTTATGAGAGTTTTAACCTTTGTTGCTCTGGGATGTTCAGCTTTAAGACCACCCTCCCCCCAAAAAAGCACCACCATCAACAACAACAACAACAACAAAAACCCTTTCTTTATTAGACAAGAGCTTCCCTATGCAACCTTGCTATTTCTCAAGCAGGTTGGGGCTTTGTTTCTGATCATTTCCCATCGTACATTTCCCAGTCCTCGCAAAACCCTTCACCTCTGGGAAATCAGTCATAACGCTACTAATTTTGGTAATAACTCTTTTACTTTTTCTTCTCATATAAGCCTCATCAAATTTGTTATATTAAAAATAAGTTATCTGTTTCATTTACTCTCCTGTAACTTCTTTCTATGAGCTCCCACATTCATTAGGTCCTTTCTGCTTGCTTTGGGCTCTCTCTTCTCTCCTTTTTCTGGCTTATCACTCTGCACAGCTGTTGACTAAAATCCTTATTCATTTTTAATATGAACATCTGCAGTTGCATCTTTCTCTCTGAGCACGGCTACATCCCTTGGGTCTTAGCTTCTCTTCCTGGTGCTGTGATAAATATTGTGATGAAAGCAACTTAAGGGAAAGAGAGCTTGTTTGGCTCCCAGCCCCTGGCTACAGACCATCAAGGCAGGAAATCGCACTGGAGGAGAGAACAATGAATGCACGCTGTTTCTCAGTCCCTTTCTCCACTGATACAGTTCAGGAGCCCAGCCAGGGAATGCTGTAGCCTGCAGTAGGTGGGTCTTCCCACCTCAATGATGGTAACCAAGATTATTCCCCCCCCAAAGGCATGCTCAGAGGTCCATCTCCCTGGCGATTCTAGATCTTGTTTAACAATGAACACTATTCATCACTTCTCGTCTGTAGAGCTTTTGAACAGACTCTGTTCCGTGCCTACAATGTTCTGGATCTTTCTACAGTTAACTTTTCAGATTGTGTATGTCTTAGTGTGGTGAGACGATCCCTGACAACTCATTCAAAATGGCTTCCCTTCCACCATCTCCAGCTCATACTTCATGACTTGTTTGCATCCTTCAAAGTATTCTGATTTTATAATTACAATTATGTTTAATTTTTGCCTTTGTGTCCCTCAAGAAATTGCTTTCCTTTGCTCTCCACCTGGCATGAAAACTGTTTTCAAACCACACACAGTCAATTAATACACGCAGAGAATGGACTGGTGTCTATATGACATTACAAAACACGTGGGAAATAAGAAAGATTTTATTTGACTATTTCAAGACACGTTGATGACATTTATTCACATGGCAACTTTTAGTGAATGACAGCATGTGTATTTAAAGTTCTCTTTGCTCTAATGACTGGGTACTCACCTAACGTAGATTTATTTTTGCTGACTAGCCAACAATGATAACCAAACAGAGAAGACAAGCTGACAGAAAACATAGCCGCGGCAAAGAATAAAAACATAATATGGAACTTGGCTTGAGTATCAGGCAGACCATTCTACAAGGAAAGGCAGAAAACAAAACCTTTGTCAAAGGAATGAATGAATATTCCTCTACATTTATGAATCAGTTAGCATGTTTTTTTAAATAATTTAGAAATGGAAAATGACAACACACAGTTCCATACTAAAACTTAAGGAGAAAAGTAAATATCATATTCAAATGTAAATATCAAAAGTAAATATCAATTCATATTAAATTAAATGCTTACTAGAGTATGAATATATATTTAGAAAAGATTAAAGTTAGAATATTTATTTAGACTCACAAAACCAAATCAAATCCTAGAAACAAACAGCAAACAAACATGACAGCATAAACTATACCAGTAGGAAACAAGATAAAAAGAAACTATAAAATGGAGTTTTACATTTACTGCCTGAACGTGTTATTAGCATACCTCATATTCACAAACGCTTAAATGATTTTAATTATAATGTCAGAAAAATGAGGGCTAGTTGGCATAATTTAGTTCCTAGTCTTTTTGATACTTTATTTTGCTATAAACAGCAGCATCAACCTAAAAGAACACAGGAGACCTGCCCGAAAATAACGCTTCAGGCTCTGTTCGTAGCATCACAGATATGATAACATTTGTAACACCTGTCTGAAACAAATATTCCAATCACGGATTGAAAGCAGCCAACAGGGCAAAACCTGCTTGCCCCTCACTGTTTGCACATCCAAGAAGATGGGCTGGTTGAGAGTGAAGGCCTGGGGGCCTGGCATTCAGAGAGGCACTGGAGATGCCAGGGGCTCCCATTCTGACGTGAACACAGTGTTTCACTTCCCTGCCATACTCGCCATTGATGGAAAAGACAAGACCTTAACTGGCAGCTTTTGACAGTAAAGTCTGAACAACAGGAACTTTGGTCCTTCCTGCTTAGATATATTTGAGGTTTGGAATAATAACCACCCATGAGGACGGAGGGCGTTGAGATTACAGTCTGGGAGACATTCAATGGGGATCAGTCATTAACTGGAAATGGTGGTGGTATCTTTGAATGCTAGGAGCCCACATGTGTCTTTCTTCTTCTTAACAATGAGACTAGCACACAGCGAGCATTCCGGAGCTCTTTAGCATTGCATTTGCTTTCAATCTCATACAAATTACCTAGCAATTCAGAAATTCTTGCCATAATGAAAGATAGTTTGATGAAAATCAAATAAAATCCTATGAGAAAGAAATCCTGGCAAGGAGTAAAATGCTTTTTTACTATCATTTCGTGTTTGCCAGGAATGTTTCTGGATCGTGTGTACACTCCACAGTTTTGCTTTGTCTTTCTTTAGAGCATATAGTATATATAAAAAGAACTACCTAAAGATTATCAATGGAAAGCGCAATAAAAATACAGAACATTGCCCACATAACAGTTGTTAAGACACTCAACACCCAAGGAGGAAACACTTTAATTTTTAAATACTGAAAAAAAAATCTGCTTATGTAGTCGGTTCTCATTCTTCACTGTAGTTATGGTTCACAAGTTTGCCTTGAATGATGGATCCATGAGAACCTGGATCTGGAGGAAGCACAGGGTTGATTTTCTCTTCTCATAAAGCCTTTGGCATCCACTGACCAAGTCACAACCTTATTAGATGTGGGGTTTTGCCTGAATGCCCCTTATTTGTTCTATAATTAATGCCTGGATGAAGCATGTATTTTTTTCCACAAGACACACCAGTCTCATCGAGACACAGTAGGTTTCATCAGCGTGTTTAAAGATCATTTTATACTGCAAAATCAACAAAAAGTAAAACAAAACAAAGCAAATAAATAAGAAACTGACAACAAAGCACGGAGGCAAACAGACCATGGGAGACAAGAACTTGTTTGCCGGACCCTGAGATGGAAAGGGCACAGCGATGCCTTGGTTACAAACTAAAAATATCCATGTGCACTGTGCAGATCTGGATGTGTCTAGAGACTACTGAGAAAGCTCCGAGCACATTGGCTGGGAAGCTGATGGATGCACAAACACAGAGAGCAATTTATGAGGACTGGCGGTTCACAGACTAACCCTGGGAAGTCAGGGTCTGAAATAACTCACTGTGGAACATTTATGTATAGCAAAGGCACTAAAGTCATGACTTACTGTCCAAAACCTGATAAAATACTGTAAATCTGTAGCAGCAATGAAAAGGCAGTACAGCAGAGAATACGCCAGGAAAAGGAGGAAGAATTTGTAATTTGAAAATCCAACGCAATTGTTCACCCTGCCAATAAAGCAAAAGTCTGAGTGAGTTACAGATCCAGTGTCGGGATAAATATACTTAAGCATAGCATAGTTTTTGGTTTATGTTCAATTAAAGTTCATTAGCATTTCATTCATAAGGAGCATTACACTTCCTAAAACATTTAAAAGGAACTTTTGTGCTTAAATAATCAACATATGATATTTAATATTGCTTTAATAAATTACAATTAATGTCACTGTGCCTCATATACAATGAATTGCATAAAGAACACACACCTTGGGGCTGGAGAGATGGCTCAGCAGTTAAGAGCATTGCCTGCTCTTCCAAAGGTCCTGAGTTCAATTCCCAGCAACCACATGGTGGCTCACAACCATCTGTAATGAGGCCTGGTGCCCTCTTTAGGCATGCATGTAGACAGAATATTGTATACATAATAAATAAATAAATATTTAAAAAAAAGAACACACATCTCAAGACAGAGACGTTGTGACAGACCCAACAAAGTCAAAGAAATTTGGAGGAACAGGTATCTCTCAATTCCATTTCCAACTGGGATTAAATAAATTAGTCTTTTAGGTTTTCCCAAATTGGATCAAGTCTCTTTGACCCTCCTCATTGCATACCATCATGGAGGCAAATAAATTATCCAAGTGTATTAAATGGAATAATTAAGAAAAGGAATGGGAGCTAGATAGAGTTTAGCAATCACTTGATAATTACAATTATATAATTATATGATTCTGGGGGTGTGAAGTAGCCTATTAGAATTTCATCTTCTTTACTGCAAAATATGTGCTCAGTAATTTCTGAATTCCAGCCCCACACTCTACGATTCCAAATATGAAAATTCATGAATCCTAAGTTCCTTTTCTAAAATCATTATAGGATGGGTTGGGGGTGGGGAGCGGACTCACAACTACCAATATCGACGACACAAAACGTAGTACATATTATTTTGTAGTCACTTTCTCAGTTTTCCTATTTTCCACAAAACAGGGCGTGACTCCATGATCCTCCGTGGCTAAAGCAGCAGCTACAGGTGATGGAGTTAACTGGCAGTTAAGTGGGATGACCAGCCTACTGCTTCCTCTCGGTCCTGCTCTTGTCCCCTCTTGAGCCCTTCTTTGTTTCCTTCCTTGACCTCACCCCACCCCCACTGACCTTGGTAAAGAAACAGAACACTTTACTGTTTCTTCTTTTCTTTTCTTTTCTTTTCTTTTCTTTTCTTTTCTTTTCTTCCTTCCTTCCTTTCTTTTTTTTTTTAAAAAAAGCTATACTGTCATGAACTATGATTCTGTACCTCAAAGAGCAGAATGTAGAGGAAACAACAGGAGATTTAGTAATCTTGAACTTAAAGGTCTTGTTCATGAGAAGCGATTCGTAAATAAGCAAAATCGCATATTACTTGTTAACGGTTATGTCTGCAGCTTCAGAGGGCCCTGTGAGGACGCGAACAGAACTCTGAGATTGTTTTTTATGGCACCGGGATGGAATAATGGCAAGAAAGAATACTGGGAACAGTCTGTACAGGGTTCCTCTAATGCGATCCCTCTTCAAAGAAGGCAGGACATTGCCTTTGCTTGCTTGTGCTGTTTTCAAGAGGCAAAGTAGATAACTTGGGGTGGTAGGCTGGGAGACCCCGTGCAGGGTGTGTAAACAAGGGCCCTTGTGATCTGAGTCACAGAGACTAGCACCCCTAGCTCCTTTCTTCAGGAATGCAAAAAGGCTTTTGTGAAACGGTGAAGAACGTTTTACAGAAAGAAGATGATTTTGATCAGTTTTTTTTTTTTACACCTAATTTAGCTTACTGAAAGTCATGCTTAAGATTGCTGGGGTGATTTGCTGTGCAAAAACCATGAATACAGAATGTGAAATCAAAACCAAGTACTTCACCATTTGCTACATATTCATAGAAAATTCTGGAAGGTGTCTTTCAAGAGGAAGCAGAGGAAGAGTATTCATCTTGAGCAATAACAGTGTACTCTTTTCACAACTGCTCTTGCTGAGACATTGTAACCGCCTAGTGTAGACTCCCTGTGGTCAGCATCCCACTGCACCCGAGCATCCGCCAGAAAGGACAGCAATCAACTTTATGCAGAAACATCACATTTTGGGTTACGTCATTTTAGTTTGGTGCAAATCATAGCCGTGGGCTGTTTCACAAAAGCTACTTTCTGGATCTTAACTAGAAAGGGAATGCAATACATTGGGAAGAAAGTTGATTTTCAGGTCCCCAAACAAAACTGTGTGACTTAGATCAGTTTTCAACCTTGCTGAGCTTCATGACAAATGATTTCTACTTATATCTGTCCCCGGTATAGAAAGATAACATTATTTTTTTTTTTTTACGTATGGTCTTTAAAACACTTGGAGAATTTAACATAGTAAGCTAAAATTATTTGGATTTATTTGAAGAAGATATTGGATAAGCATACCAAAGTATTATAAATATAATTAATTAAAATTTTCTACTAAAGGTCAAATCGTTCCTCCAAAAGAAAAATCCCCAAAAATAAACACTACAGAAGCTCTTACCTAGTTAAAACGACAAGGGTGAGTCTGATCTCCTAAATCCTATTAGGTAATTTAAAATGCCCAGCCAGACCTGTAAATATGAGGCACTTGGCAGCCAGCCATTCACGGACTGATAAGGCTGCTGCTCTCTGCAGGGGGCTGCAGGGAAGATGGTGGTGGGAACAGAGGTAGAGCCTGGGAAATGCCCAGGCAGGAAACAGTTAAACTTCTGAGATCAAAGAAGTTATGCTGTGGGAGCTTAACTTGGTTAAATACTGCAGTCTTCCAGCTAGTCTGTTTAGCCTGTCAAAGTTCGAAAGACCATTAAAACTTATCAGTAGGTTTCTTATTCTGCCATGTGAATTGCTGGTTCAGGAAGACTGCCCTGAGCAGATGCCATAATTCTCTATGTTTGTATCAGTGGAGGGCAAGAGCTGTGGGATTCGCTGACCAGGAACAAATCGGATTCTCCCCCGCCACCACCATCGCCACCTTCATTCTTTTGTGCCACGCTCTTTCATTAAGATGGAAAAATTAGCATCAACTCTCTGTCCTGACGATTTTATTACTGCTAATCATGCTTAGGTTGCACAGAAATCTAGAGAGATTCGGAGTGAGATGGCGCGATCTGAGTTCTCAAAGCAGACTCTGAGACAAGCACAGCTTTGGTAGCGGTAGGTAGGTTTGCGTGCTTGTTTTTAGACAACGAAGGTAAAAAGAGCTGGAGATGTAGCAAGAGAGAGAGAAATGGAATTATTAGTCAGGCTCTCCCTGGCTGAAAGGATCTTGGGTGGTAAAGTCCTGGTCCTTCTGGACCGACAGTGTTGTGAGCTGAGCAAACTTGTTCAGGTAAATGGAAGTCCTGATGAGGAAGTAAGGAAGCACACACAGGTTCCTAAGACTGAGGGATGTTATCAAACAGAGAAGCTGCTCACTACCAGAAAACTTAAATGGCGCTGTGTGTGGGGAGCACTGGGGGAATGGGAAAAGGGGGAGGGGAGTGAAAATTAGGAAGACTTATAGTTGAGGATATTGGTTTGGTGGGAAAAGAATGGGGAACAAAAGAACAAATGTGTAACATGAAAAGGCTGGGCCTGCTTGTTTGTGTTTTTGTCCTGCCCAGCTCCCCCAGCTGTTTAGCCCCAATGAAAATCAATCACACAGATCTCTGTAAGTTATAAAGCTGATTGGTCCATTAGGTCAGGCTACTTACTGGCTAACTCTCACATCTTGATTAACCCATTTTTCTGATCTATGTTAGCCATGTGGCTCAGCACCTTTTACAGTGGGGCAGCTCACATTCTGCTGCTTTGGTGATCTGGGCAGGAGTGGGAGGAATCAACTTCCTCCTCCCCAGAATTCTCCTGCTCTCTTTGCATCATTTCCATGTCCTGTCTGGCTTTCCCGCCTACACCTCCTGCCTGGCCAATCAGCGTTTTATTTAAAACATGATTGACAGAATACAGACAATTCTCCCACACCACAAATGCAAGTGTAAATTAATACAAAATGGGTCATTCATACAGATGTTTAAAAGACCACCATTATGATAGGAGTTGGTTACTCTTAACATTTTCAAAAAATTGCTGAAGAAAAGGGAGAGGGATAATGGTAAGAGATGAGAAGGTATAAATCCTAAGTCTTCCTCTATACTCCCTGCTCCTAGGAAAATCATTTCCAATGCATACAGAAAAAAAAAAATGTATAGTGTAAACTTGTGAGCACTCCTATTTCTTCTGAGTGTCATCACTGGAAGAAGTAAAGCTTGTGCAGTAAATATGATTAAAGCTTGAATTCAGCCATAGCAACCTCAACATGATTAACATGTATACAGAAATGGTAACAAGAGTAGAGAAATCGAGTTTCATTTGTGGGTCTTTCAGACAGCCTTCTATAAAGTCACTTACATTAATGATTTAAAAATAGTAAAAAAAAATTGAGTGAGTTCTAAGTAGAAAATCTTGTTTAAACATATCTGTTTATTTGTGTGCTTACTATTCTACCCCTCAATGTCGTTTCATTTAAAATAAATTGTTAAAAGTTTAAAGGGAACACTCCTGCATTGCTGGTAGGAATGCAACTTGGTACAGCCCCTTTGGATGTCAGTGTGACGATTTCTCAGAAAATTAGGAAACAACCTTCCTCAAGATCCAGTAATACCACTTCTAGATATATATCCCAATGATGCTCAATCGTGCCACAAGGACATGCTCTCAACTATGTTCATATCGTCATTGTTTGTCATAACCAGAACCTGGAAACAACCTAAATGCCCCATTCCAAAGAATAAGTAAGGAAAATGTGGTACATTTACACAATGAAGTACTATACAGCAGGAAAAAAAAACAACATCTTGAATTTTGCAGAAAAAATGGATGGAGCTAGAAAACATTTTGAATGAGGTAACCAGACACAGAAGGACAATTATCACATGTACTCACTCATAGGTGGTTTTTAAACATAAAGCAAAGAAAACCAGCCCACAAATCACAATCCCAGAGAACCTAGACAACAATGAGGACCCTAAAAGAGACATACATGGATCTAATCTACATGGGAAGTAGAAATAGACAAGATCTCCTGAGTGAATCGGGAGCATGGGGGCCTTGGGAGAGGGTAGAAGGGGAGGGGAGAGGCGGGGAAAAAGGTAGAGCTCAATAAAGATCAATTTTAAAAAGTTTACCATAAACATTTATTGAGGAATTATTAATTAATGTAATATATAATTAATGTATAAATATTTACATTTCTGGAAAGCATTTTAGTGCATCTATGTTTATATATGTGCATAAAAGAATACTCTTTGTACAGGGAAAACATGTAAAATTAACTTTCAGGTTATTAATGCACTCGTTTTAAAATTAGTTAATGGAAACGCTGCCAAATGAAGGCTCCTTGAAGTTCAGTAAATACTAGAACTAAACCCGGAAGCGTCTCTAGGACTAGGTGACTGATCAATGTAAAGATTTGGAAAAAGTGATTCAGTTTATGCTAAGTTAACGTTAATAATTGATTCAAACTTGCTTCAAGTTCATACTCACCATGGGCAATGATGATCCATCTTCAAAATACATCTAAAAATATCCAAAAAATAAAACACGACACCTTATGATGTTCATTATAAAAAGAAAATCAAAAACATTTCTAACAGTTGTGATATGCAAAATATTACAAAATTACTTATTTAAAAATAAAAACCAGTAAGAGCAGACATTCTCATCTAAAACAGATACTATAGCTGATTCTAGTTGTATCAGAATAATAAAATACCAAAATGTACATTCCTTAAGATACAACTTCTTTTTAAAGACTGTTATTGGTCCAAGACTACTTTGCATTAAAATGTGGAAAATATTCACAGATTTACACAAACTTTATATAAATTTGCTCCTTAGTATCAATCTTTAGGACAAGTCTTTCTGTGTCTGTCACATATTAAGTAGACAACAACATCTAAGTCTGAGAAGTCAATCAAGGTGTCTTTCTAAAGACGGAAAACACCCACAGAAGTAACATTTGCTAAAGTTGAACTTGCCACGTAAGACTTGCTAAAAATGTGCCTGTTACGTCACCATGAGCCCGGGGGAAACGGCATTAAGTACAGCCATAAGCTACACTGCAGTTAATGCAAGAACTAATTCCACTCGTGTATCAAAACAGTGCCCTAAACAGTATGCACATGGGCTGTATGACAATCGGGAAAGCAGTAACACAACACTGAAAACACAACCCCAAGCATGTAGACGTTTGAGAAGCAAAGGTTTCCTTACTTATCACAGACGGAACAGTGATGGCAGCGGTCGGGTTTTATAAGTTGGCATCTGTCACAATATCGGATTGCTAGGAACAAAAAGTTCACTTAGTCTTAACCTTAACAAGTCACTGAAAATACAGCTAAATGACTTTTTATCTTCACTCAGGATTTAAACTCTGAAAAGGACACTAAATTTAAATTTGACTTAAGAAATGATATTCAACTCAGTTTAACGACAGAGAATGAAAACACTTGCCTAGAGACAGGCTTCCCTGGAGAGATTGTCCAAGAACAAAAGACCTCTTGGACCTCCTGGAAAATCTCTCTAGGAGTTCGTTCTCTGTCATCAGTAGTTGCGGTATGGCTCTCAAGGGGAAGGTGTGATCATTTCTACTGGTCAACAGAAAGTCTTCCTCAGCTAAGTCAATTTATTCCTGTGCATAACTGAGCAGGAACACAGCACAAAGATGTCGTCTAGAATGTGCAAGCACACCCTAGAGGTTCCATAAATTAGAAAAGGGCTCACATCTCTGTTGATTCTGATACAAGGTTAGAAGCAAGTACTGTAAGAAGCATTTCAATACAGGATTTTGGTTCTTGCACGTAACGATGACACCTTTTCTTCAATAGTCCAGAGAGCACAATCTATCTGGAAGGCTGAATTTGAGATGCTATTTCTCTACACACACCTCACAGGATGCACTAGATTGTAGGAAACAGTGACAACTGTGTTAGACGTAGATTCAATTCGATTCTAATGTGAGCTCAAAGCAAATGCAAATTGCATAGGAATATTAATGAGGCATTTTATATTTCTTGTATGCTAAATCTTTGAAAGCATTTGTGTATCTTATATTTAAGAATTCTCACCTTGGTCTAGCCATATTTTAAGTACTCAACAGACAAATGGGCTAATGGGCCTTAATGGGTAAGCAGAAGTTTAAAGTCACAAAACATATCTGGGTTAAGTCTTGGCAGTAATTACCTGTACTTCATGTAGTTTTTTTTTGTTGTTGTTTTGGGATTTTGTTGTTGTTGTTGTTGTTGGTGTGTTTTTTGTTTTGTTTTTTTTTTTTTGAGACAGGATTTCTCTGTGTAACAGCTCTGACTTTCCTAGAACTCACTTTGTAGACCAGGCTAGCTTTGAACTCAAAGATCTGCCTGCCTCTGACTCCAGAGAGCTGGAATTAAAGGCGTGAGTCACCATATCCTAGCTGTGTGTTGGTTTTTTAAGACAGTGACTTAATTAGATGTTAAATTACTTTAAAATGTAAGTGAAGTAGGCTTCCTATTAATTTAAGTTATTTATATAACAGTTTCCATAGAACCAAACTTGACAGGCAAAGAAAAAAAAAAAGTCGATGAAATGATTCCTAATGATATTCTGCTCTACTCAGATTGGTGCCTAGTTCAGTCATCATCAGAGAGGTTTTCTCCAGCAACTGATGGGAGCAGATAGTGATCCACAGCCAAACCTTAGGCAAAGAGAGAGCCCAGGTTGGAGGTCTCAACATCAGTCCCTCCCTTCAGAGTTTGGGGAACTCTTTGAAGACAGGGAGTATGAATTGTGGAAGTCAGAGGGGTTGGGAATGCTGAGTGAGAACAGCTGGGTAATCAACTACGCAAGGCTCCTGGGGCCTCACAGAGACCAAAGCAGCAATCCAGAGCTTTCATGGGTCTGTGATAGGTCCTATGTATGTATGTATGTATATATAATGGCTATTGGTTTGGGGGAACTCCTGACAGTGGGAGTGGGGGTGTCTTTGACTCTTTTGTATGTTCTTGGGAACATTTTTCTCCTCTGGGCTGCCTTGCCCACTCTTGGTATAAGGGCATGTGCCTGGTCTCATTGTATTTTGTTGTGCAGTGTTCTGTTGACGTCACTGGGAGGGCTGCTCTTTTCTGGGGGAAGCGGGTGGAGGAGTTGATCTAGAGGAGAGGGGAGGGGGGAACTGGGAAGAACAGATGGAGGGGAAGCTATGGTCAGGGGTATATTGTATGAGAGACGAGTAAATAACATCAAATAACATCTAAAATAAAAAAGATAGCAGTACCTTAATTATGTTTTACATAATTCACACAATTACTACTTTAGTCTTATTTTTTTAAAAAAATGCTCGCAAAATTATTAGCTTTACATCCATTGTAGACACTGCTTCCTTCAATACAAATAGGAAGGTTTATAATTAAAACTTTAAAAGCAAAATTTTTCTACTACAGATAAAGACTGGAGCGGTCCTTACATCATCACCAAGTCACGACAAAGTAGGAGGGACGGAATTAGAGTCAGTTCTGAGTTCTCGCTGCCGCAGTGTGACTCACGTTTCTGTTCTGTTTTATGGAACTGAATAGGAAGACTTAATAGCAACCCAGGAAAGAGCACAGCACACTCCAACGAGCACTTGACGGCTTATGAATATAAGCTTATGAATATATGCTTTCCAACAGCCATTACTCACTTGCGGGCTTTTCTGGATTACCAGTACTTACCTCCGGACATGGTCCGGGTATAGATGGGAAGGTCTTTGGCTGCTCGCCTCAGAACTTCCTGATGGGCTTCTCCTCTTGGCTCTCTCTCCAGCAGTTCTTTCTCTGCATAAGAGAGATGGAACTGAGGAATAAATTTAAATTTTAATCAGTATTTTCCAAAGGAATGACAACCCGTTTGTCTGCTCTATTACACTCAAAGGTAGTTATAAAATATTAATGATATATAGTATATTCAGAGAAGCTGATAGAGTTCCCAATCTGGGCATGTCTCTTAACCTCTCAATAACTACTTTATGAATATTGAAAAAGAATATGATGATAATAATAGTAATTATACCTATTTCCATAAATGTTTTTAAGCTTAAATGGAACAGAATGTAGGAAATAGTTTATAAAATGAATAATTCTGTCAAAATATTAGTTATATAATTGATAAGATGGCACAGTAAAAATGCAAGGCTTAGCAGATGAATTTTTCACTTGGATATAATCAGGAACAGAAGTAGAAGAAAAACAATTAGATATACATTCTCATTTTTGAACTTAAGCGTAACTGTCACACAGGATCCCATTTGGTACTCAAATATCTAAGTATTCATTTGTTGCTTATATTGACATTTTGACTCAACCAATTGACCATATTTATTTGAGAAAAACAAAAATTTGTTTTGGCTCCTACAAGATAACCACACATACATACGAAAGTCCCAAAGTTGGTACTGTATGAATTCCTATAAATAGGTCTAAAAGGTGTGTGCCAGACCAGCCACAGTGCTCAGTCCAACACCTATCAAAGGGTAGTGGGTAAATGAATCAGGACAGGACACATCTAAACCCACTCCTGGTGCTTCACCATGAGCTATAATGACTGAACAATAAAGGACCTTATCTCAGTATCTTGCTGAAAAGAGCAATCACAAATTATCTTAGAGAACACATTCTCTACAAAGTTTCACAATCAAGAAGCTAAGGAGCCTCTATCTTACCAATAAGGGCAGTCATATGTGTTAAAATTATAAAGAAGGGAATAATTAAAACAAAACACAGAACAGTTGTTTCTTCTTGGGGAGTGTAGGGGCATGCAACTGTGAACTGTATAGCAGATGGGAAACTTAAGACTATTCTATGTATTGGCTGAATGTTTGGGCATTTTCATTTGATTATTCTTTAAATTGTACATTATATACTTTATTTGCCAGGACCAGGGATTGAACCTAGGCCAGCACATATGAAAGGGAAGTTCGCTGCAATTTTGAGCTGTATTCCAGGAGGAGCTGCTAATGAAGCTCTCACAGAATAGAGATTTTTAAAAGAAAATCAACCTGGAGCTGGGCATGGCTCCGCATGTAATCTTAACACTCAAGAGGCTGAGGCAGGAGGATTGTGAGTTCAAGACCAGCCTTGGCTACCCAGAGAGTTTCTGTCTCTAAAAAAGAAATTAAGGTGACACAAATGTCATTTATGTCATGACAGATTATTCAATAAAAATTTGCTCATGACACTGGGCCTAAGTCTTTGCCCTCCCAGAAATAAACTAAAAACAGAACAAAACAAAACTTCAGCTTTCAAGTGTAGATAACTTTTACGTTGGCATAATATTCTTGTGTGCATGATCTTCTGCTAGGCTCAATCCTAAAACTGCAGGTCCATTAATGTAAAAGCCACTCCTGGCTTCCTACTTAGATGCTTCATATTTGTACTCAGGGCCTCGTGCTTACATCCCAAGCAAGCATCCTCATCGGAGCCATTTCCCTAGCTCCTCTTATTACCATTCCTGAAACTGACTTAAAACCAGGTGCTGTAAATTTCCAGTGAATTGGCTTATTAAACGACTTTTAAGAACTGTCACATACATTGATATCTTCAACATTTTATGACTTTTCACCGAGTTTCCGGGTCTTTTTCACCTTATGGGTAACTTCTAGGGTGTGTTAGGCATGGAAGACCCTCGCATGTTTAATGCTTAAATTAATAAATTAAATCAGAACACCCTGGACCAGCTCCAAGAAATCAAATGCATAATCTTACTCACATAATATAGAGGTCAAAAATAGATTTCTACCTCTTCCAGAACATTATGGTAGGCAAAGTCCTGCCAGTCCACAGATTAGAAGATGCTAACTGTACGTATCTGAAGGTACTGAGCAATTTGGAAAGCAGAGCCGCTAACTCCTGATCTATTCTCCAACCTCCAGATGTCACAGTTCTTCATAATCCTGGTTTTGCTTCTGTTAGACTAATTTTATCTTATTTTTAAAGAATATAGTACATTTCCTTAACAAATTGAGAAAATACTGTAAAGTTTCTAACGTTTCTATATAGCCCATCACCGTTTCCCATATTAATATCTTACAATAGCATGGCACTTTAGGCACTTTAATAAAAGTAATATTGACACACTATTAACTGAAGTGCCTAGCATAAAGTTCAGCATAGATATTCAGATTTTCTGTTTTGGAATATCTTTTCCTACTCTGGTATTTCTACTCCATACATCTGCATAATATGGGATTATGGAAATCCCAAAGTATTTTCAATCGCCATATGCCCTCAGGTTCATTTTAGCCTTGGGAGTGTCTCAGATTTTCCTTCATCGTTCATGTTTTCCTTTTCTTGTTCCGTCTTATTCCCACGTAGCTGTGAGTAGTACTGGTGTTGTATAGAGGGCCATTTAATTGCAACGTTTCTGATATTTGTCTCCTGATAAGACTGAGGGTTATGGATCGTTAGGCGGAAAACTGACATTGACATCGATGGACCTATCAAGCTGGCCCTAATCATATAGTTAAGGGAGGATATAAATTTGTGTTTGTTTGTTTAAGATTTACTTTGTGTGGATGGGAGTTTCCGCTGCAGGCATGCACATGCAGCACGTGTCTGTCTGGTGCTCCCAGAGGTTGGAGAATGGCACCATGGTCCCTGGGCAGAAAGAGGAATATAAGGCAGGAGGGGACAGGGGCTCAGTGCAGTCTGACACAGTCTGAGGATGCTGTCTGAGGATGGGATCGCCCCTTTGGTCTGAGCACTGGTAGAGGTAAGAACTCTAGTGACTGGTCACTCTACTTCTCTGATCTCTCAGCTTTCACCCCCTAATATCTGACTCCTGGTTTTTATTATTAAGATCAACTAGAATTCAAGCTACAGTTGTGCAGACAGGAGTGATATGGCTGGGTGGAGTAAAAGAAATATAAGTGGGAGGAGACAAGAGCTCATTGCAGTCTGAGGCAGTCTGAGGAGTAGTCTGAACAAGCAGTCTGAGAAGGCAGTCTGAGCAGCAGTCAGTCTGAGGACACAGGCTGAGTATGCAGCCTGGAGTTGAGTTTGAGTATTCATAGAGACAGGATTGCCCCTTCAGTAGGAAGATTCAGTAGAGGTCAAAGGTCTCTCTAGTGACTGGCCGCTCTGCTTCTCTGATCTTCAGCATTAACGATTCTATCTGACTCTGGGTTTTTATTACTAATATCAATTAGAATTTGTGTAACACATGCACACACACACACACACACACACACACACACCCACACACACACCAGTTTGTCCACTAAGTTGCTAACAGAGTTTTCATAATAACAAAAATGCCAAGAGTCTAATACAACTAGTAGTATTGAAAATTACTTCAGTCCCTTCCGGGTAGCAATTTGGTAAGCAACTGAAATTTTCTTGATCTAGTAATTCTACATCAAAGAATTTTTTATTAAGGAATAATTTAAAATATAGGTAAAGTTTACATACATACTCGCTAATATCAGTACCATATATAATATGATTATATATGATTGGGGTCAGCCATAGAATTTAAATTTAAAATCGGGGTATCTTTACAACAGTCATTACATAATTCAAGGAGAATATTACGCTGCTGTGAAAATTAGCAATATGTGCTGGAGGGATGGCTCAGTGGTTAAGAGCACTTTCTGCTCTTTCGGAGGACCCAAGTTCAATTCTTAGCACCCATGCCAACTGACTCAGAAGCACCTCTAACTCCAGTTCCTGACACCCTCTTCTGGTCTCTGAGGGTAACTGCAAACACATGTGCGCGCGCACACACACACATACACACACAAATATGGTTTTGTGTAAAACAATTACCCAGCAAAGTCCCATCCAGTTTTAAATTCACTGTGGTTCATTTCTACACTTGTCCTAAGAGGTTTGCTGCTTTATATGGTGTAGTTAGAGAAACCCTTCACGTGATACTGCAAATATGTAAATGAGAGATTATACCCTCTTGACTCAGAGTGGCAGCAGGAGAGGGCATGCGCTCACACTGAAGGCATCTGCTAAAGTTATAGCCTGAAGCTAAGTTACTAACTGTATCTGGGATCGAGGAGGAAGAAGAGTCAAGGATAACTCTAAAGCTTTTGGTCTGGAGAATGGAAGATGTAACTGCCATTTGTGAGATGGGACCGCTTTAAAAATATGATTAGAAAAGTGAGTAGGAGATCCAAATGTTTTCACATATGCTGAATTTGAAATTTTTGCCAGATGTCAGAGGGATAGTTTTAGATGTGTCTGGAGTTCTGGAGAGAGGTCTGGGCTAGTGTATTAATGAGAGTTATACCAATGGCAGACTATATGAAATTATAAAATTAAACAGGATCGCCAACGCAGATATATAGAAAAAGAGGTCCAGAAACTGAACTGAGAATTTCAAGAGAGATAACTGTTGCTGGTACAAATACAAACAATAATTTTTTAACAAGAAAATGGAAATAATAGTATAGAAAAAAATACTGAAATGGTACATTCAGGAAGCTGCATGAGTTAAGAGTTACAAGAACATAACACAGGAAGTCAGAGACCCAGACAAGGATTATTGTTGCCAGGCAAGGGAGACCAGACTTCACCATGTGGGAGAATATACAGTCACAGAACAGACACACGCAGTGGATTAAATGTTAAATTTCTCTTTAGATGGAACACTCTAGCTTCAAGGTGGAAGATAAACTTTTGCAGGGTTCTGGGAAGGGGGCATCAGTAAGACTTAAAACCATGAAGATGTATAGCATGTCTGATGATGGAGATGACTGAGATGGTAAGAGGGAAAGATAAAGAAAGAAAAGTAGGTAGGGAGGAATTGAGGACACATACACACACACACACACACACACACACACACACACACAGAGAGAGAGAGAGAGAGAGAGAGAGAGAGAGAGAGAGAGGCAAAGACAGAGAGACAAAGAGACAGACACAGAGAGAGGCAGAGACAGAGAGACAGAGACAGAGACACACACAGAGGCAGAGACAGACAGACAGACAGACAGAGAGACATGCAGAGACAGAAAGAGTGAATAAGAGATAGACAGAGTGGGAGACAGAGACAGAGACAGAGACATAGACAGACAGACCCCAGGCTCCAGGCCTGCACGACGCTTACATTTAAGAAACAGACATGCTACGGTTTAGGGAATGACAAAGTAGTGATCTCTGTATATGAAGTGTCACTGGCCTGCCCAAAGTGGAATGTCTGACCGAGCGACGCATCCATTAAGCTCTCAGAAGAAATCAGAGCTGGGAAAATATGAGAGAGTTATCAACAGAGAGGTGGTTGGTATCCACCTGAGTGGATGACATCACTCACTCGATTGATAGAAGTCAGCATTTTTTTTCAGACCTACACAAAGGCCAAGACATGTGAGAGAGATTATGAGCAAAAAGTGAACACTCTATGAGGGAGGAAAAATACATAGAAAAGGAGAAAGAAGTAGAAAGACAAAGAAAGATGGTCCACGAAGCACTGTAGTCTACACATACCATTATTTCTGCGCAAACACCTTTTCCGGGCCGACAGTATGGTTATTGGCCTCTATGGTCACAGGTTCAAGTCAAACTGATTGCTTTAGGGAACAATTTACAGTGCTGTGGTTTGTTTTTATCTTGGCCTACTAAAAATATGCTATGAACAACAATGTTTATTGAAATTCAGCAAACATATACTGCAGCAAATGCCAAGAGCAAAGGCCGCGGAAGATACCATGCCTTTGCTCTTACCCAAACGAGAGACCCAGAAACGAGCAACATGATATATTCAAAAATGCACTTTTAATTTAGTCATATGCTACTACTTAAAAGCCTCTGTATTAAAGATTGCTAGTGGTCCCCCAATAACCACTCCTCTCTTCAGCGGCTGACGTGATTGTTGAGAATAACATTCCCAGACATCCATGTGAGGTGTGCCATAATGAAGCCATCTAAATGCAAGTGGAAATGGAATCAATAACTTGAAGAAAATGTCACCGAGGGAGAGGGCACCTCTGTCCTACTGTCTATGGCCTGCTGGCTATAATGTATTCTCAATGTCTGGAATTAGAGCTACATCTTCAGCCAAGTAGTGGTCCATGGAATCAAAACAGACAGAGCAATAAGAAAGAGGGAGTCTGTGTGTGTAAAAGTTGTGGACTAGCTATAGATCTCTTGAACACAGAGAAAATGAGTTAAGTAGTTTATTGTTGCTATTCCTGGTGATTGCCAGACAACTAATATGTATTTAGTATAATAATTAGTATGGAATGACAATAAATTGTCTATCATCTATGTATGTATGTGTATATATATATATATATATATCATCTATCTCTTATTGATCTATCTGGATACACAACTCTAAAGTGTGTATAAAAGAAAAGAATGCATAAAAAATTTGATAGAATAACTCTACCATATGTAAAAGTAAGTACTTAGTGAAAATCCCAAGTGTTTATTAACATATACAGATTTTTTTTAAATCCAAAAATATGACCATATTCAATAGTTTGTAACAACTAATGAAAAGAAGGCAATTCATTTTCAGAAGTCAGCATTAATGATTGCTTTCTTCAAGATAACTTTGCTATTGCTTTAACTTACTTCTTTTGAAGGATTCATGGGCAGTGTAAAAATGGTTTTCCAGTATGACCAGACAAACATTGCAAAGAGTAGATGATAAACCATGAGGCTCACAACTGAAAGGAGAGAAACAGAATCATCACTGTAATGTGCGAAATTTTACTCAGATCATGGTATTCACAAAATATTCAAACTAACAATGATATACTATAAACAGTATTTATATCATATTCAAATAAGTGCAACTCTTTGAATAAATCACCTGAAGTCAAGATATTTTAACATCTCTAAATGTATCATTACCTCTATATCCACTGACTAGAACCTCCATAGGCCCATCTTTTTGCAAATTGGCTAATCAGATTTTTTTCTAAGCTGTAAAAGTGGGGCAGTTATGTAAGAGTAAACCCAATATTAACCAAATGTTCAGACTTCCAGGCTTTATGAACTTTGCTTACGGAGAGGCAGAGAAAGCAGCTCCCATCTGAGAAGCCGCTTGCCTGTTTGCTTAGCTCCGGTTGACACTGGTGGCTCTCCTGGTTATAATGACAATGTGTAAACAGGGACCATCTGGAGGAAGTGATTTCTGCCTGTGGGGGTTCTAATGCCTGATTTAGTACACAGGACAACTGTTAGGAAAAGCATCCTGAGTATATTTGTTTAATAATATAAACACACTCTGTATGTTCTTTTAAAGGCTTGAAGTACTAATACAAATTGAAAATCATAATTTCATCCTACTGGAAACAATTCCATCTGAATAATACATCAGCATAGTTCTGAAGTAAACAATTGCAGGAAAATGTGTCAGGTCAGAATATAGACATGTCTGAGGGCTGAGGTTGCATAGCAGGGGTAGACCTCTTTTCCGGATGACACCAGGCCTCTACTCCCAACAAAAACTAAACAAATAAATAAGCAGAATATGACGTGTTTTATGTTTTAAATTTTCACTAGAAATTTTCAATTTTTCCTAAAGAATTGTGATATGTATACCTGTGGATTCATTTACAATCTGGATTATCTAAAATGGAACTTAAATCAGCATAACACAAGCAGAGGCAAGATTTCATAAACTCTGCAGGTAGATAGCTTAGTTATGAAGTAGTTCAAGCTGGGACAGGAGATTGTTCATATCCTCGGATCTGGGAGCATTAAGGATCTTCAAAACAATTATGGCCATTACACAGTATTTGTGACAGAATTTAGTTTGGGAAATTAAAAAAAAAAATGCTATGCCATTAACTATCATATTACCATATTGTCAAGGAGTAGTTTTTTAAGCCCAACCAAATATAATAGATACAATTTGTTTTTTCAAACTATTCTTAAGATATTATTTCTGCAACCATCACAATATTTTACCTTGTTCACCAATGTTCTCCATGGACACTAGAAAAAAAGAAAAGAAAAAAAGGTCATAGGTTATGTGAAACTCATCCAAACCGAGGGCCCTGAAGACAAAACAGACATTAAAATAGATTGATAACTTGGCTTCCCTTCATACCAACATTCTTTAAATATTTGTTTAACTTTATGTAGAGTAGAGGTGAGTGCTGTGGACAGAGGGTAGAGAGGTGGGGCTGGGAGCTACAGTCAGTCATGCTTCAACAGTGCACCTCAAGTAGCAAAGCTGTGCTCCTCAAGTGTGACCCTTGTGGGCCTCCGTAGACTGGCTTATTGACCTTCAACTATAGAGTTCAGATCAAAGATTGTGTTCTCCAGGCCCATTACGTTTCCTGAGGTATTTATTGGTCTTTATGACTGAGCCACCGGTCTAGCCAATTCTCTTCAAAGAACCAAATGTCTGTGAATGGAGCCCATATGCTCCACATTCTAACAGCTCCTGGCTCTCATTGCTCCATGTGCAATATTGAGAGGCCCAGGCAAGGCTTGGACAACCACTAGCCCTCAGGGGCTTCCTCTGAAGATAGCAGCTGGGTGAGGACAAGCCACTGACAATCTGAAACAGGCTGGAACAGGAACTGCATTCAGTAATCCACACAATCTCTTTACCCCTGGATGAAAATCCATGTGATTTTCCTGGGTTAGTAATAATGTCTTCTGGAGCTTGGGTATTTCTCAGCTGCACCAAGAGAAGGATGTAATTTTTTTCTTATTCTTTTTCCCCCCTAACTCAGTTTTCCTTACTCCAGAATGAAATGTCACTGCCTTAAAACATGCTGCAATTTTGGGATCATGTGACAGAGTTTTAGGGGTATCTGATCTGACCCACCACTTTCCCAAGTATTTTTAGAGCCGCAGAGCCCACGGCTTTAGGGAGCAGCCTGCCACTTACTGAATGGTTCTAAGAATTTAAAAACTCATGCACGTAGTGTGCTGAATTGTGTTCCTGCATGGCTTTGAACTGTGGCATCTAGATTTCTGATAAGTAAAATAATAAATAAAAAACAAAATGATAAGACCTCACATATCTAACATCGTACTTTTTCAAATATTTCTCTCGGGCCAAACGTACTATATCTACCACCTACTTTGGAGATTCAGTGAGGAAATGTGAGGAAATGGACTTCACCAAGAATTGTGGAGTTTCTAATTAAAGTCTAAGTTGTTAGCAAGCTAGTAAGACTTTTTTTGTAAGCTATTTGCAAGCCAAATATCATGTGCCTGTCTGGCTCATACTGGAGATGAGAAAACACAGCTCAGTCATGAAAGTGCTTGCTTTAGAAGCATGGGCCCTTGAGTTCAATACCCAGCATTCACATTCAAAAAAGAAAAAAAAATCCAGGATGAGCTTGTAAATTCAGCCCTGGGAGGCCGAGACAGGTTTGAAAACTTAAGATAGACAGCTCATAAAGAATAACACGGGAAGTTATCCTCTGGCCTCTCGACACATCCCTGCACGCATGTGCACATGCACCTGCACACACATGAATGAACACCTATCCACACATACAACACCATTTACGCAATAACAACACACACCACGCACACACACACACATATGCCACATACACAAATACATATCCCACACAATACACGCACACATGCGTGGAAACAAGTTTCCTAGGTTCTCGAACCTGCCAATTAAGTTTGCTTACAGATGAGAGTCTAGTCAGCTGTTGATCTTCTCAGACTGCCTGAGGAGCTTCTCTGACAGCAGAGGAAAGATTCAAGGTCAGATTGTTCTTTGTGTCTGCTCAGCACAGGAAGCCACGCATTTTCCTTAGGCTCCTACTGATTGTAACCCTTTCCTGTTCTCTCTTGGAACTAGACCAAGGCCACACAAAAGCAATTTGGATCCACCCGGGGGTCTACCTCTGAGTGACCTTAATGACCATTTCAGAGGTACTGGGGCCATAAAGAGTTCTACTTGCTAGCACGGGACTCCTGCACTCAGATTGGGAAATGGTAAAACAAAGAGACATTCAGCAAAATCAGCACAGCTTGGGTGAGCCGATAATCGCTCTGTCCTGGAACAGCAGTCTATTAAATGGATAATCTAATATCACCAATTACATTATTTGTTAGCTTCTCAGACAGAGTTTTAGGGATATCTTCTTAAAAGCTATTTTTCGCCATCCATGACTTGTATTTCACAAAAAGTGTACTTCAAAACCTACAAATACTCTTTTGTAATCAAACAAGTTATATGTAGAGCCACACTTAGAGCAGATTTGCTAGCGTTTATACAATGAGATGTAATAGCCCCCAAAGGCCGTTTTCAATTACATTAATATTATAGCGCTATCACATTTCTTACAGCCATGAATATTTTTAAATTTAATCAATGTCAAAGGCCAAAGGAAAGACTATTATCTTAAAACTGGGTCTCAGCTCTAGGGAGGCTGAGGCAGGAGGCTAGGCAGTTCAAGGCTAGTCTGGGCAGCATAGTGAAACCTTGTCTCAGAGGCAGCTCACTGCTACATAGGGCAGGTGACTAGCGTGTACAGGACTTGGTTCGATCTCCGGCACCCAAAACGAGGAAACAAAACAGAAATGTGGTAATACTAGTTTCCCTTATTATAGGTGAGGATTAGTATTGCTTTAAAAATATAAGCATGGATTTCCTTTATCTATTTGTAGGGAATTGTGACTTTCTTATGGTCAATGACCTATTTATCTTTTGTTTATTGAGACCTCTCGTATGCTCCGAAAAGTGATCCCATATGTGTCTAAGATATTACAAGCAAAGCTGTGAATAACCAGCTTCAAAGGGAAAACACCACTAATTAAACACCAGCACCCAGACTAGGGACATAACAAACTCACACCACTGGTTAAACACCAGTACCCAACCTAGGGACATAACTTACCCACACATATCAGGAACACACTGATTTATTTTTATGAAAGAAATGAATGCCTTTTCCAGCATATTTTCCCAATTATTACATTAGTGCCTCATCTTGAAAATTTTGGTTTAATGTCAGAGCTATCAAATTTTAAAATGTCTTTTCTCACTGTGTAAGGATATGTAAAATATGTTATTTTCAACCATAGCTACTTTTAATAGTTATTTAAGAAAAGCCACTCTTTGACTTTGGATACTTTTCTAATAATATGTATTATGCAACTCAAATATATGAGAAATACAAATTAATTTTTGAAAATATAAGTAGTAATTGAGTATAATTTGATTACTTATATCAACAAAAGAATTAAGCAGTATGCCTGGAGAGATGGCATAGAAGTTAAGAACACATAGAAGTTAAGGACATAGTTGGGCTGTGCTTTGTAACATTAATAATGTAATTAAATACTATTGCATTAAAACTCAAAAGCCATATTATAACCAAATAGTTATCTCTGGAAGATGTATTATAAGTATGCTCAATACAACTATTTAATTCATTAAAGTTTTTATTTTACTTTTTCTTGTGTGTGTGTATGCATGCGTGTGTGTGTGTGTGTGTGTGTGTGTGTGTATGCAGAACTGTGGAGGCCAGACGATACTGACACAATGAAATCAATAACAACAAAATGGTACTGATCCTTAACACAGGTAATGAGACAAAACCACACTTTAGTCTTGATGGGGCACTTAGCATGACACTTGTGAGGATGCTTTTCTTGAAAGTGAGAAGGTTTATTTTGGATCTAACACTTTAACCTAATGAACACAAACTCATTTTGCTTTTAATGTGAAACAAAGACAACTATACCTACATTCTCCTCATATAAGACAAATATAATTTGTTTGGGGGGAGGGATAACAGCACTTCTATTATTACAATAAAATGTTTTCTATTTATACTTCTGGGAACAATCAAGACATATGCAATAGCAACCACTGCGGGCTACATTCGAAGTGCATTTGTCTAACTTTATCTGAACTAAGTGGAACTTCTTCCTGCTCCATGTCCTGCAATAATCTGTCTTTCTCTAGAGACTTCCACTCTTCTGTTATGCCTCCAAGACTTAAAACCCTTCCCTGGCTAATTGTGTTACAGGAATCACAGCCCTTTATTGGCATGGATGGGATGCAGGAAGAGAAACAGAGAGAAAACAACACATTATCACCATAGTAACTAAACTGTTCCTGTGTACTGAGAGCGAAACCAAGTGCTCCATGGCACCTTAGACCCCATTAGACTGCAAGGCTACGAGTTCGGGGTCCAGGTCGAGTTTCTCATTACCCCACTACTTACGCTTCCTTCCTGTCTCTAGCTGTCATTATGATGTCATTTTTTTGTTTGTTTCTTCAGTGTTTTACAAGAAAACCGATTTTTAGCAATTATCCAAACCATCCCCCCAGGATTAGATGAAATTGAAAAGAAAATGTATCACATCACACTCCACCTTGGGCAACAACACAGAACAAGCTAAGCTGGGATAGGATGGGCTTTTCTGAGAATGTCCCACTGTGCTGCCCCGTTATGTCCCACCCTCTCACTCGTTTCCCGGAATAGCTGAAGTCACAGGACGATGCCAACATGTCCAGCATGATGAGGTGTCCCATATTTCTTACCCTAGCCCTCCTTTCCTTATCTGCAACAATCACACTCCATTCCTTTATCAGAGATGTCCTCACAAGGTAGCAAACAATGGGGTCCTTAAACAAAGGAGGCAAGAAAATCAAAAGTAACATTTGGACAAGGTTGGTGGCCACTAAAGCTTCTCTCTTTGGGATACAATGGCCGCCATCTCTCTATGTCTTCACAATGTCTTCCCTCTGTTACACTCTGCTTTCAAATTTCCTCTCTCTCTCTCTCTCTCTCTCTCTCTCTCTCTCTCTCTCTCTCGTTTTCTTTTTGCTTGTCTGTTTTTCAAGACAGAACTTTCCTATGTAGCCCTGGCTGTCCTGGAACTCACTCTGTAGACCAGGCTGGCCTCAAGCACTCAGAGAATCTGTCTGCCTCTGCCTCCTAAGTGCTGGGATTAAAGGCATGTGCAACTACTGCTGGGCACGAATTTCTTCTCTTATATGG